GCCGGGTCTGCAGCCCAGACTCGGAGTCTGGGCAGCTGCGGGCGCAGCCGGGGGCTCTCCCGACCGGTTGGCGCCCGCGCGGGATGAGGGCCCCGGCGCTGCTGACTTGCTGCTGCTGCTGCTGCTGGCTGCTGGCCCCCGTGAGTGCCCTGACCCTCACTCCCGAGCACTGTGCGAGAGGCGCGCCTAGAGCACGCCAGGGACTTGGACCCCAGACCCGCAGTCCGCGCGGCGGGTTGGAGTCCGGCTCGCGTTTGGACTAGAGTTAGGTGTAGGTCGGGTCGAGTCGGGTTCGGAGTAGGGTTTGGATCGATTCGAATTCGGGTCGAGTTCGGGCTCCGCTTGGCGTTGAATTCGGGCTTAAATTGAGGCTTGGGTCCGGCCTGGTTCGGGTTCCCGCCGCCACCTCGGCCCCGCTGTTGTCAAGTACTCTGCCTGGCCCTTGTCACCGCGCGTGCCTGAGGGACGTAGCAGGCAGGGAAGTTTCCTGTGGGAACCGTCCTGCCTATTGCAAGAGCGCCGGGGGAATAATAAACTGAAGACAAGTTTGCTGTGTAGTTCTCAGGAATTTTTCCCTTCGTTTGAAAACCTGTTGGGGAGGTGGTAGCCTTCTCTTGACCCTCACCAGGGGAGCTTGCTCGGGGCCTCTTGCATGCGGGGACAGCTGCGGGGCCGTGCTTCCCGGCCCCCCAGCCCCAGGGCTTCGAGAGCAGAGCCCAGCCTGGCGGAGGCGAAGGTCCCGAAGCTGTAGGATCCCCGTAAATCACTGTTTTGCACGCTGCAGCAGTCTTGTTATTATAGTGCTTTTAACATTCTAATAGTTTGCCTTTTAAATCGACATAATTTCATGAAGTCCGAAAGTAAGACCTTTGGCTTGTGCCAGTGCTTGAAACCAGGAGTATATCTTTGGAGGCTGTGCAGTAAATAATGAGCCCGTAAAATTAGAGACCTGGGGGCGGGTTGTAATGGAATAAATGCGGAGAAGCACACAGCATTAAGTTTAATTCTGCCAGGGAGATGTGTTTCTGCTTGGATTCTAGGCTGTGGTAATAGCAGGAGAACGAAACAAAGAGGGCCAAGATATTGCCAAGGGTATAGTTCTACTCAGTTACTATTTTGGTGAAATTTTTGTAAGAAGGGGGGAGAGATGGAGACAGAGTGAGAGAAAGAGAGTGAGATAGATAGAGAAAGAGATGGAGACAGACAGGCAGAGACAGAAACTGGCGCACAGCCAGGGGCCTGGGCCAGCCATGTAGGCCCTTGCTGAGGCTGGCAGAGGCAGAGAAAACCAGCAGTCAGAGTGTGCTACCGTCTGCGACTGGCAGCTCACGCAGCACTGTCTGTTAGGAGTCAGTAAGCACCATCAGTGATGCCTTGCATTGCGTCTGAGACCCCACAATGGCTCCGACTAGAAAGTGTCGCTCTCCCGGAGTCGTAGCAATGGAGTCTCTGATCTCTGCCTCTTTTCTCATCTCTTTAATCTCTCTGAAAGCTCTTTCACAACAAATTCTACAGTAAAAAACTGATTACAGTTTTATTTGGGTTCATAGGGTTAAATTATGAACATGTCCTGAGGCTTTTAGAAATGTAGTTATCCTATTATGGCTGTCTACAGTAGACGTGGAGAAGCCCTCGGAGAAAGCAAGCTGGCATCTCCAGAGGGGTCGTGCATTTGCTGTAACCAGATCAAGGGCTGTGAAGGGAAAGACTTGAGCACTGAAAGAAAAAGCCTGAAGGGCTCAGTGGCCCCAAAATTAGCACTAATGACACACAGTGCATTCTGCTGGTTTATTTTCCAGCTCAGAAAAAAAAAAAAAAAAAACACTCCATTGGGTTTTATATTTGTTTTATGAAACATTTAAAAAATAAACAGTAAGGGTTTTGTGAATAACCATGCCAGAAAAATGAAGGTGATGGCTTCTAAATGAATTTCACTTGGGAACAGCTTGGAACAGCGTGATTTTTGGAGTCTTCATTAGAACTTTGCTGGACTTTCCTCTTACGCAATTCATAGTTACTTCTCTTTCTTATAACCGTGAACAGGTGAACAGCATTCATCCAGAGTGCCGATTTCATCTGGAAATACAAGAGGAAGAAACAAAATGTTCAGAGCTTCTAAGCACTCAAACAGAAAAGCACAAAGGTAGGTGGCAGTGTGGGGTGGCAGGCCGTGCTCGTGGTAAATGGTGCGCATCTGACTACTGCATCCCTGAGCCCCTCTCCTGCTGAGGGTTAGGGTGTCGACCTGCCGGAGGTTTAGTGAACCGATGGCAAAACTCTGCAGGACTGTGTGAGTGAGGTCACCACAGCAGCCTTTTAAAACAAAGCCTTATTCCTTAGCAGTGATGGCTTCTGTGATTTAAGAGGCAGCAGTAGAAGTGACACAGTCTCATGGATGTGTGACACTTTGCAAGCACAGCTTTGCTTTTTCATAGAAGGAACATTTGTGTGCATTCTTAAACTTTAAAATCTTAGCCCTATCACAATGATTCTTGTCTACTTAATGACAGTAGAAAGTTATCAGAAAACAAACAGGAAAATGGACTTCTGTTTTCCTGCAGACAGACCTACTGTGAATACTTTAGACTGCAAATATGCGGTGAAACGTGCAGAGGATTTGCTGGATGTCCCATCACACAGGCTTATGCTATGCAGACCCGAAGTCCACTTACTGCTCGCTGCTAGTGCAGAGCCTCCCACCTGTGCACCTCCTTTTCTCTATTTGTGCCACGACTTATCTTCTTCAAGAGTGAAGTTAAAATGAAGTGAGTCTCTATCATGACAGCCTGGGCCCCTGCCTTGTAGAACAGCAAGGAGACATATAGGTAACTGGGATTTTCTGGAGGTCATATTAAAATAATAAAAAGAAGTATAAGATTACCTTAATAAGATATTATATTTGCCCAAGTATGTCTGCTTGTTTATGGTTTTGATTTATAATACTCAACATTAAAATTACTTTTACATTTTTCCTACTAAGTCTTAGAAGCCTGGTGTGCTTTTTGTACTTGACAGTACATTGCCATTTGGGTCACAGGAAGCCAGTGGCTCTCATGCTGAATATAGTGGCTCTAACTGTTAGAGACAGGCTTCTCTGCCCTCCCTGTCCCCCACGTTCTCATCTGGAAAACAGCCGGGTCCCTTCCAGCTTCAGAGACAGCACAGGCTGAGGGATCGCTCTGAGGGACAGCACAGGCTGAGGGGACCAGACGGGGGGTGTGAGCTTATGGCCACACTGTCTGCCCTTTTCAGCAAAAATCCAGATCACATAGAAGACAGCGCTTGGGATCACATGCTGTTGGGGTCCTAAGGGGCAGCCCCTTGTTCCGCCTCTCACTGCTCCCTGAGGAAAAACAGGTTCCAGCTCCCTACTTGCAGAGTATCTACCATGAATACAAACTTTATATAAAATAATTCAGTTTTTAAAGACTTTGCAAGCAGTGCATTGAAAACAAGTTCTGCAAGAGTAGGCAGACCTCTGTGGACAGTGCTGCCTGCTTTGGGATAGTGGCTATGACTCCCTGCTGTCCCTGCCAAAGATAAGTCAGAACTCTACAAAATACTCTTCAGAGAGCACCTGTGAATAGCAGCAGGGACCTGTGCCACTGTTCCTGAAGTGCACAGCTCTTTGCATTTGTGTGGCTGAGAGCAGTAGGTGAGACCCAGGCCACAGAACGCTGCCTTTCCTGGATGCAGCAGGAATCCCACTCAGTTTTCTTGGGCTAACAAGTGTCTGCTTGGGCTTCTTCTATTTCAGGCTCTTAATTTCAATACTACCTCGTAGCAAAGATACCTAATATGTACACCTGATTTGTTCCACTATGCTGACCAGCAGGACTCGCTCCGAGTGGTGGCACACTGTAGAAAAGCAGAGCCAACGGGGCCACCACCCTCAGCACCTGCAGAGGCAGCCTGTGTCCACAGTGCTGCTTCTTCTTCTTCTTCTTCTTCAAAATATGCATGTCTCAAATGCCAGGGATATAAATAGGAGTGAGCCCCTGGCATGGGAATACCACAGGTGATGGCAGCCACGGCCCACAGCATCTGAGCAGACACCTGTGAGCAGGCTTTTGCTTCACAAAGTCAAAAGTGACAGAGAAGTATTTCTCTTGAGTCACTTTTAGACTCCATAGTGATAATAAATAGGTGTGAAAAAGCACTACAAACAAAAATTGATTTTCAATTTTTTTTTCTTCTTCATCTTTTTAACACAGGGTTTCACAATGCAGTTCAGGCTGGGGCTTGAACTCACTTTATGGGACGCACTGGCTTTGAACTCATGTTGACCTTCTTGTCTCAGCCTCCCAGTACCACCATGCCCAGCTTCAATTCAATTCAATTTTTTGTTTGTTTTTATTTTTTGTGGTACTGGAGATTGAACCCCTGGGCCTTCCCACTAAGCTCCATCCATAGCCCTTTTTATTTTTTATTTTGAGACAGGGTCTCACTATATTTCCTGGACTAGGCTCACTTCTAATCCTCTTGCCTCAGTCTCCTAAAGTGCTGGGATTACAAACCTATGACACAACTCACAGCTACTAGTCTTCAACTCTAGAGGGGAAGTTTCTGTAAGACTTTATTACATGATTTTGTTAGCTTTATGTTCCTGTGACAAAATCTGAGAAGAAAAACTTAAAGGAGGGAAGGTTTGTTTTGGCTCATGGTTTCCGAGGTTTCCATTCATAGCCAGCTGGCTTCTTTGCTATAGGCCTGAGAAGTGGCTGAGCATCACACTCAGAACCTGTGGCAGAAAAGTGCTGCTCACTCCCAGCAGGTAGGAAGCCAAAGGAGGCTAGGCACGAAGTCTAAGGACCACCCCAGGGAAGCACCTGC